GTGATGTGCTGCTGGAAAAGCACATAGCTGAGAAGGCGGCTTTGCAGCAAGCGCTTGAGGAGCTGCAGCAGCAGAAGCAGCGAGAGACGGATTTGTTGTTGCAGCAACAGAACGAGTGTGATGTGCTGCTGGAAAAGCACATAGCTGAGAAGGCGGCTTTGCAGCAAGCGCTTGAGGAGCTGCAGCAGCAGAAGCAGCGAGAGACGGATTTGTTGTTGCAGCAACAGAACGACCGTGATGTGCTGCTGGAAAAGCACATAGCTGAGAAGGCAGCTTTGCAGCAAGCGCTTGAGGAGCTGCAGCAGCAGAAGCAGCAACAGAACGAGTGTGGTGTGCTGCTAGAAAAGCACATAGCTGAGAAGGCGGCTTTGCAGCAAGCGCTTGAGGAGCTGCAGCAGCAGAAGCAGCGAGAGTGCGTGCAAGAGCAGGAAAGTCAGCAGCAGCAGCAGCAGGAAGAACACCTACTGCTACAACAGCAGCAGCAACACTATGAGGGCCTGTTGCAACAACAGCAGCAGCAAAGGGAGGAAGAGTTGGGTAGGCTACGACATCTCGAGCTTCAACAGGCGGTGCTGGAGCAGGAGAAAGAGCAGTTGCAGGTGGTATTGAAAAGACTTCAGGATGACCATCAGCAGCAGCAGGAGCTGATGCTGCAGCAACAGGAGGAGTGGGAAACTCTTCAAAAGCGTTTAGACGTACAGCAGCAGCAGCGGCAGCAGCAGGATGCCCAAAAGATAGAGGAGTTGCAACAATTGCTGCAAAAGGCTGAGGGGCAAGTACGCTCTCTAGAGCAGCAGCTGCTGCTGCTTCACGAGGAGCAGAAGACACGTCTAGAGACTTTGCAACGCCACGAGCAGCAGGAAGCTGCGCAGCAAGACCAGCAGCAGCAGCTTCGCGATGAACTGATGCTGCTGCTTAATGAGCGCGCCGCCTTGCAGGGGCTGCTGCAGGACTTTGCTGCTGAAATGCAGCAGCAACGGGAGGAAAGTCTCGAGGAGCAACTGCAGGAGCAGTCCTTGCAGCAACAGCTTCAGTTAGTGCTACAGCAGCGCAGCTCTATTGATGCTGAGAATGTAGAATTGCAGCAGCGTCGTTGGCAAGCAGAGGAGCGGCACGCAGTTGAGTTGCAGCGACAGCAGCAAGAATTCCAGAGTGAGCTGCAGCAGCATAGGGAGGCTGTTGAACGGCTGCAACAAGAGCTGCAAAAGGAGCGAGACGCGCAGCAACAACAGCAGCAGGTGGTTAGTGAAGGAGTGCGGGAGGCTGCTGAGTTGCGGCAGCGGCAGCAGCGGCAGCAGCAGCGGCTGCAGCAACAGGAACTGCTGCTACAGCAGCAGAAGCAGCAGTTACACCTGATGGAGGAACTGTTGGAAGATCGCGACGATGAGATTAGTGAACTGCAGCGGCAAACAACATTGCAGCTTGAGCATCAGCAGCAACAACAAGGGCAGGAGCGGTTGGCTGCAGCCACGACTGAAGCGGATGCAGCAGCAGCAGCCGCTACGGCTCAGGACTTAGCAAAGGCTGTGAATCGACAGTTGAAGGATCGGCTACAGCGCCTTTCTGAACTGTGCGAAGCCCAGCAGCAGCAGCTACAACAGCAGTGCGAGCAGTTGCAAGAACAAGAGCAATTGTTACTAGTGATGCAGCAGCAGCGGCAAGCGAACGGCCTTCTTTGTGAGGACAAGGTGCTGCCTCAGCTCTCTGCTGGACAGCGTCGAACCGTCGAAGCTGAAGAAGTGCCGCTAGAGCAGCGGCAGTTAAAGGGAGTCTTGGAGCACTCAGCAGGACAAGTCAACAAGCAAAGTGAGCAGCATCAGCTGCAGCACCAAGAGCTGCTGCTGCAGCAAGTTAGGCAGCTCACGGCTGAAGTGGAACAGATTAGGGCAGAGCAGCAGTCTCACGAGCAGCAGCAGCAGGAGGCGCTTCGGCAGCAGCAGTGGCAAGAGGAGACGCTGCAGCAGAAGCAGCAAGAAATACTCAACCTGCAGCAGACTATCAAGGAAAAGGAAGAGCAGCTCCAGCAGCTGAAGGAGGAGCAGCGGCATACGTTGGAAGGGCTGCGCGTGGCAGAGGATCGCCTTTGGCAGCAGCAGCAGCAGCAACAGCAGCAGGACCAGCAGCAGCAAGCTTACTGCCATCTTAAGGAAGCCTTTAAAGACCTTGAGCAGCAGCGTGAGCAGCATCAACAGCTGTTGCTGCAAAAGGAGCAGCAGCTCCAGCAGTTACAACAACAGCACGCTGAGCAGATGCGTGCCACGGCAGTAGAGTTGCGGCGCTTGCAGTCCGAGCACCGGCAGCAGCTACAGCAGCGAAAGCAGCAACAGGAGCTGGCCATCCAGCAAATGCAATTGCGGATGCAAGAGAGGATTGCAAGGCTGAACGAGGAGCGCATTGCCGCGCAAAGGAGAGCAGATGCAATGGCAGCGGCCGCTGCCGCTACTGTTGTACCTCACGTAGACGCTGCAGCCGTCGCTGCTTCAGCAGCTGCTGCCGAAAACACTGCAGCACTGAAACTCTTGCAGGCGATAACTGAGCAAGTATCTGATCTTCAGAAAAGCCAGCAGCGGGTTGAAGAGGGGCCTCCAGAAGTGGATGTTGCAAGTGTTGCCTCCTGTAAGCGTCTGCATGTGTCGCTCTGCTATTTACCTGTGTCAAACCTATTGATGCAGCATCTACTACTTGCTGCAGTCCGCTTCCAGGACATGCTGTTGGTGCGCCTCGGGCAGCCTCCCGTTCTTAGCAGCTGTGCGCATGTGTGCCTTTTCCGTGCCGCTGCAGTGACAGCTGTGCATGACAAGGAGAAGCGGCTGCTGCAACACCAGCTGCAGCAGCAGCGGCAGCAAGCTGAACTGCTGCTGCAGCAGAGGCATGAGCTCGAGTCTAGCGCGGCTCATCGTGAGCACGAGTTGCTTGGTCGACTGCAGCAAATGAGAGGTTGGTCCGATCTTTCTGTTGCCTATACAACAGCAGCTGCTGCTGCTGTGTGGATTTTCTTGCACTTGTGCAATACACACTCCTTACCCAAGGCAAATCTCATCCACCATCAAGCGAACCAAAGACCTAGCTTTTTTGAGGCTGGATCGCGTTCTGCTGAAGCTGCAGCTCCTGCTGCTGCTTGTCCTCCTCTTCCTCCCGTGTCCGTCGGCTGCCGTCTTCTGCTGGCCTTGCAGGATTGAGCGCACTTACGCCAGCAGCCACTCTTGTTTCTTTTTGCCTGGTTTTTGCAGGCGTCGCGTTGTTGGCTTCGAGAGAGCGCGCTGTTTTGGCAATGCAGCTCAAGTTGCTAACTGCTGGACATGCAGGGGAGGAAGAGGCGGACGAGCAGCAGCAGCAGCAGCAGCTGCAGAAAGCGAACCAGCCTCGAAAAAGGCAGGACTCGTATTGCTTAATAAATGATATTTGCCTCAGGTAATGAGGGGTTGTTGCTTTTGCGGGTAGACGAGTGAGAGGGCCTTTGCCTGTCGACTGTGCTGCCTCCCTTGTTGTGCTGCTCTGGCTATTTTGGAAGCTATCTCGGTTGGTGCTGCCGCTCCGTGGAATGTCTTCAGAGGCGCAGCAAAGGCAACGATGGAAGAATTCAAGGCGCTGCTGGATGAGCTTAACCAGCGGATCCAAGAGACAGCTGTGCGTTGGCTAGCTGCTGCTGATACTACACGGTTGCAGTCGCACTTTTTATGCAGCTGCGTCATGACCACTGCTCTTCTCCCCCTGCCGAGCTGTGCTGGTGGTTTGGCTGCTGCCCCCAATGTTGCGGTGCTGCTGTCGCTGCTGCCTACAGGCCTCGTCCTCACAATCTCTGCAAGAGCTGCAGCAGCAGAAGCAGGAGCTTATTGAAGCGAACCACAGGCTTGAAGAGTGAGCAGCAGCAGTAGCAGCAACAGCAGCCGTATCTGCCTTAGCAAGAGAAGCACGTTTGACACACTTTTTTCCAAAATAGCAGCACCAGCGGCCACTCGAGCAATCGTATAAAGATAATAAACCCTCGAGTCTGTGCTAAAGCGGTGTCATCACCCTCTCTCTCTTGTGTGTTTCAGTTTACTGAAACAGTCGGTACAGCACCTTGAAGTGCGGGAAGCAGCAACAGTCGCACATGCAGCAGCCACGGCAAAGGCGGCAACGGTTGCTGCTGCCTCAGCAGCAACCGCTGCAGCGGCTGTTGCCCAGCAGAAGAAGACGTCTGTTCTAGCTGCTGCAGTGAAGGAGGTGAAGCAGCGTCTTGATGCTGCTGCTGTAGCGATGGCAGCCGCAGGCAGCGCAGCAGCGAATGCAGCGAAAGCCCTTGCGTCTGCTGAGGGCAGCACAGTGGCGTTCTCCCAGAGCGTTGAACGTCTGAATCCGGAGCGTTCACCAGGGAAGCATTCCGAGAGGCAGCAGCAGCTGCAGCAGTCTTCTTTGTGCTTCCAAAACAGCAAGGATACGGCCAGCCCTTTGCAGCAGCAGCAGCGAATGCAGCTACAGCAGCAGCTGGCTGGTGCTGTTCAGGGGCATTGGGGAGATGAGAACGCGTCGTCAAGCGACTCAGAAGAAGAGAAAGGACGACAAAAGCAGCAGCAGCAGCAGCCAATGAAGCAAGAGCGAGAGCAAAGGGCATCAGAAGGATGGCGAGATGCCAGTGAGTGGATGGGTGAAGCACTCGGGGCAGGACAGGAGCAGCAGCCCATGAAGCACCTTCCTACACCGGCAGAGGGATGGGCAGTTGTTGACGGCGAATCGGCAGTCGATCTGTTGAAAGAGGAGGAGGAGGCAGGGGAGACACAGCAGCAGCAGCAGCAGCGTCAGCAGCAACAGCAGGGGCAGTGTCTCCCGCCACCGTCTGAACCGCCGAAGCAGCAGGGGTTGGCCTCAGTGCAGCATCTCCGCACGTCACAGCCCGCCTCCAGTATTCGCAGTTTACGCGAAGACGGGGCAAGAGGCATTTTGTTTGCTGAGGATCAGAAGCAGCTGTGCTCTGCGCAACTTGCTTCTTCCGTGTTGGTCTCGGGTATGCGGGATTCGACGTCTCTCTGGGGAATCAGAAATTCGATTGACGAGGAGCGGCAGCAGCAGCAGCATCAGCAGCAGCAGGTGGCAGTCGAGCAGATGCACACTCCTGGGGACGATCGTGTCATGCCTCAGCAGCTGCCCCTGCAGCAGGAACCCTGCAAGAAGCGAGACCAGGGACGGCAGCAGCGGCAGAGAATGCAGCCGGAAGAGCAGCAAAATCGGCAAAATCAGGCAGGGGGACGTCCTTACGAGGCCGAAAACGATGCTTCTTCCACTGCCTGGAGTGGCGGAGATTCTTGGGATGTTGATTTTTCAGTCGAGCACTCGAGAAAAGGCGTTCATGCATCTGCCGGAGCTGTATCAATGCCCGCAGAAGCACGCTTGGTAAGTGCAGGAGAAGACGCATCAGCGTTACATGCACTCGAGAGGGGAGGGTGGGGGGTTGCTAAGGAACTGTTGACACCTCCTTCCTCCAACGCCTTCAAAGCCACACTGCCACAATTGCTCTCGCCAGAGGCTGCCACTGTAGTGGCAGGACGAACATTTCTTGTGTTACTTGCTGCTGCTGCTGGGAATGAGCAGGACGAGGATCTGCGCCTCGAACGTGACCGAGCAGCGCCCAGTGAAGCGAATCCTTCAACACGTGAACTCCGTCCGCAGGCGGCATCACCACCTGCAGAAAGACAACCAGCAGCAGTTACAGGCATTGCTCTAGATGACATAGACTTCGACGACGACTGGGGTGGAACTGCAGCATCAGGTGCAGTCTCAGTTGCAGGTGCTGCAGCAACACCTGCACTAGTGCAATCTGCAGCCTCCCAACGTGCAGCAGCCACACCGCCAGCGGCAGTAGCAGCAACTCTTCCTGTGGCCTCAGTGCAAGAAGGAGATGGAAGGCCTGTAGATGACATAGACTTCGACGACGACTGGGGTGGATCTGGAGCAT